AAACATGTCTCTTGACTAAGATTTTATGCATGTCATACTTCATCACTGAATTTTCAGTTTCAGGTCTGTTTCATCTGAATTTTCCTATACATCCTCAAAGACAGAGTCTCAAAATGTTTTTATTTAAAAATATCAAGAGTAAAAAACTTTCTACATCCTGTACTTATTATGAAGAAATAGAAATCCGACTTCTGAACATTTTTTTTAAACATCAAAAAAGATGTGGTAGAGTTTAATCTTATTTCTTTTTACTGAAAAATACTGAATAGCTAGCATGAAAGCAGTTGAAGCTGTTTAACACAAACTTTCAGAGTCTTTGCGCTTTCACAGCTTGTCACAACCTCATGGCTGTTACCCCTTTTTTGCTTATAGAATTCAAAGCTAGCTCCAAACCCAGGGTAACCAAAACTCATATTTCTTTGTGTATTGAGGTGTCTCCCAAGGATGCGACACAGCAAGTACAAACCAAACACTGTTTAGGCTATTTCAAATAGACGTGTCAAGGTGTCCTGAAACATGCTTACCTGGAATACTGAAACAGAGCTACTGTATCATTTCCTTAAAACATAACTACACGCAGAGACAGGACAAGGTCCAATACGTGCATTCCCGTTCCCTTTCAGATAAAATATCACAAAATATATGTAAATAAGACAAGAAAATTTCTCTCTGAGCAAGAAAAGCTCTGTTTTCTAAAAATGAATTTGCAATGGCTTCCTGGATAGCTTGAGGCAAAATACTTGTATTTCTCAATTTAATGTCTGCAAAATTGAAATAATTTCACTTACTTCACAGGGGTGTTAAAAGAATTAATTTGCTTGTGTTTGCACAACTACTTTGAAGATGAAAACTGCTGTTTAAATGCTAAGTGTCATTTCTTATAAATATGCAAAAAACTAAACACCTGCACAAATCCAAAACAAGATTATCCTCTCTCCATGTACAGACAACCACAGGACTTGAAAGTACCGTTCTTTCATCCATTGCCATGTCTCCAAAGAAAACAGCAAGCGCTTATCAGTCCTTACTGCCTCAAATCCTACTTGCTGCTCACTGATCCTGTGACATACTTTTCACAGCTTGTAAGATTTGCTTACTATACTCATAATAGAAATATTAACATTTAAACTAAGTGTAATTGATGAAGGCATATTGACACAAATCAAAGTTTTAATCAATCAGGATTTCCAGGTGTAGATGCTTTGAAGTTCCCTAATAAAACCTTTCTTCTGTTTCAAAGTACTGTTTCAACTCACAGTGATTTCGTAATACTCCACAAATCCTCCAAAGATGAAATAAAAGAAAACTATCTACATTTCTTTGTCCATAATAATTTATTTCTAGTTTCAATATATGCCAAAGGGGCCAAAAGCTTTGAAGATACCTTACTAAACCTGAAGAAGCAAGTGGTTTACACTCCCTTTTTATTTCATAATACTTTCATTTGTCAGCTTTTTGTTTCCCTTCACTCATACTCATTTCCATCTCCAAGTAACGACTCAGTCACTTCTCATCTCTACGGAGCTGATCTTTTCCCTCATTTTCCCAGTCCTCAACACGCTTGTTGATGACTCAAGGATGATTTCCTCCAAGTTCAAGAGAAGTCCATCCTGACAAACAGGAAATCAAAGGCAGGAGGCCTGAATGGATGAGCAAGGAGCTCCTGACTGAACTCAGACATAGAAAGGAAGGGTACAAGAGGTAGAAGTAGGGGCAGATGACCCAGAAAGAGTATAAAGATGCTGCCCAATTCTGCAGGGATGGGCTTAGGAAAGCTGAGCCTCACCTTCAGTGGACATGAATGGCAACAAGAAAGGATTCTACAAGTACATAAATGGCAAAAGGAAGAGTAGGGAAAACATGAGCTTGCTGCTGAAGAGGACAGGGGATCTGGTGGCAAAGATACGGAAGGTCACAGAAAAGATACTAAATGTCTTCTTCAGCTCAGCCTTTGCTGGTAAGATTGACTTTCAGGATTCCCAGACCCCTGAGACCAGACGGAGTCTGGAGCAAGGAAGACTTATGCTTGGTGGAAGAGGACCAGGTTAGGAAGTACTTAAAAAAAAATGTATATATATAAGTCCATGGGGCCTCATGAATTGCACCCACGAGTGCTGACGGAGCTGGCCGATGTCATTGCAATGCCACTCTCAATTACCTTACAAGGGTCATGGCATCTGGGAGAGGCCCCTAAAGACTGAAGACAGCAAATATCAGTCATCTCTTCAAGAAAGGCAAGACGGAAGATCCAGGGAACTACCCCCACCTCAGTCCCTGGGAAGGTGATCAAGCAACTAATGCTGGAAAGTATTTCCAAACACGCAAAGGACATGAAGGTGGAGTAGCCAGCACAGATTTATGAAGAGGAAATCATGCTTAATCAACATGACTGCTTTCTACAATGGGGTGACTGGCTTTGTGGATGAGGGGAGAGCAATGCATGTCGTTTACCTCCACCTTAGTAAGGCTTTTCACACTGCTTCCTATATCATTCTCATAGATAAGCTGACAAAATATTGGTTAGATAAATGGACAGCAAGGCAGACTGAAAACTGTCTGAACAGTCAGGCTCTGCAGATTGTGACCAGTGGCACAAAGTCACATTGGAGGCAAATGACTAGTGGTATACCCCAGAGGTTGATAGTGAGGCCAGTACTATCCAATTTCTTTATTAATTACCTGGATGATGGGAAACATTGTTCCCTCAGCAAGTTTGCAGATGACATAAAACTAGGAGGAGCAGCCGATATATTTGATGGCTGTGCTGCCATTCAGAGGTATCTCAATGGACTAGAGAAATAGGTCCGAAGGAACCTTATGAAGTTCAACAAAGGGAACTGCAAAGTCTGGCATGTGGGGAGGTATAGCCCCAGGCACCACTGCATACTGGGGACCAGCCAGCTGGAAATAGAAGAATCTGCAGAGAATCACCTTAGGATCCTGGTGGACAGCGAGATGACCATGAGATAGCAATGCATCCTCGAAGCAAAGAAGGCAAACAGAATCCTGGGCTGCAGAAGTATGTTGTCAGCAGGTTGAGGAAGATGATCCTTCCTCTCTGCTCAGCACTGATGGGGCCACATTTGGAGGGGCCAGTTCTGGGTTTCCCAGTACAGAAGATGGAGCTACTGGAGCGAATTCAGTGAATAGCCAGGAAAAGGGACATCTTTTATATGTGGAGAGGCTGAGAGAGCTAGGAATGTTCAGTCTGGAGAAGACTCAGGGGAGGCGTTATCAACATATATAAATATTGGATGGCAGGGAATGAAGAAGAGGCAGCCAGACTTCTCAGCGGTGCCAACTGACAGGACAAAAGGCAATAGGCACAAACTGAAACACAGGATATTGCAGCTGAGCACAAGAAAAAACATTTTTTACTGTGAGGGCACTCAAACACTGGCACAGGCTGCTCAGAAAGGCTGGGGAATCCTAATCCATACAGATATTCAAAACTGGACAGGATCCTGGGCAACTCTGTCCCTGATCCTGCTTGAGCAGGGATGTTGAACTCAGGAGGTCCTCATCAACCTCAATGATTCTGTGATCCTCTCTTCCTTCCTTCCTTCTCCTTATCCCTTGAAATACAATTCTCTGATAGGAACTCTGACTTAGTAAATTTTTTTCTTCAGACTGAATGCCTTGCTTACATTCAACAGCACAGCTTTCTAAAGATATTACTTGGAAATAAAAATGAGTCTTCATTCTAATTGAATCATTAAATGCTCTCAAACACCATATTTGAAATGGCTTTAGCTCAATAAGTCGCACTACAAACTAATTTAAGAGCATGCCAAAATAACCAATAGAAGTTGGATGAAATCCATACAGAACAATATTAAAGACCAAGGAGTCTACTCTGTGCTGCAGATTGTTTTGGTTTTAATTACACAAAATATATGTATAAAAAACTTAACTTAAACCTGAAAGCTTCCCTAAATACCAAATTTTCTGGCACAAAATAGTCACACATACAAACAACACAAAAATACACTTGGAAAAAATAACTGATGCAAACTTTTTTTCCTTTTATTTTTTTTAAACACAGTCATCAGAAAATACCCTTTTTTTTTCTATATAGCTTTTAAAAATGCTGTGTTTTAAATATATCCTGAAGTCACTTTTCAGAGCACTTCCAGAAACATTCTTCCTGCTTGAATTTTTACTTTCAACTTTGTCTTGCCTGTTTAAATGTTCATGGAAAGAAAAGCCAGTCCTACCTGCAGACTCAGGAAACAAGTTTGGAAGTACCTTCTCATGATATTTTACAAACAGGATTTTAAAGCACTCACCAGTTTGCCACCAGTGGTCCAAGACGGGTACCTTGAAGACCTTCTTTGCCCATTGTAGCGTGTCCACATCACAGCGCTCACCAGCTACAAATAACATTCTGAACCTTTAAATAAAAATTTTAAAAAGTACATATCTTGATCTGGATGGGGAAAGGAAAACAAGATAACAAATTCAATAGATACCTCTGGTTGGTATCCCAGATAAAAAGAAAAGGGGAGGGAGGACAGTTCCTCTTTGCATGCTCCTTCCTACTAAGTAACAATTACAATCTTAGCAGTATTAATTTATGCTACTTAATACATCATGTAAAAGAAGCTTTGTTTTCTGAATGCAAAGACCTTGGGAGACCAGAGGCAAGCAACTATCAATGGAAGTAAAAAATAATTAAATGCTCTGTACACAGGAACTAGGTAGATATCAATCAGGCAAGACATGAGAATGAAATACCAAAAAAAGGGTCAGAAAGAGAGATCAGAAAAATTAATAAATACAGAAACAGAACTAAATGGAAATAACTGTAGCATAACCCTTAGTTTTAAGTTGTTAATAATGTTCAATTCAAACAGATTTTAGTATGTTTTGAACTGTTGAGTCATCTTTTTATAGGCATTTGGAAATGAGTTTTGGGGGAAACAATGGGAAATAAAGCCATTTTCATGTGAAGAGGCAGGCTACATATACATAATTTTAAAAAATAAAGCAATCCTACTAGATAATGCGAGTCAGAACAAGATTCAGCAGCCTTTGGTCCCTGATTGCAGTACCAGACATTCCAGTACCAGACTGGGCACTCCACAAGCAACTTTGGCAGAGAAGAGATGCGATGCCTGGCAGTCCTGACAGATGTGATCTGCATGTTTGTACCATTAAATTAGGTAGTGCTATATAACTGGGTATTAAACCTACATATAGACTTTAACTTCAGAATCTTTTATCAGCTGTTTAGTCACACTTCATCATCCTTCATTAAGCAACACAAATTCACTTCACGCCCTGTTTAGAATGATAAGATCCTCTACGTCAACAGCAGCTTTCTTAAATATGACTATCAGCACTCAGAAGCTAGACATTACCGTACATTACTGCATGCTGCTAAGGTTTCGATCTTTCTAACTTTCACATAAACTTTATTCATGTCATAGCAGAATTTTTACACTTATTTCCTAACAAGCAATTTAAAGCACTGTTTAACTGCATATGGAGCAGCCTCACCTCGAGTACCATGTCCAGTTCTGGGCCCCGCAATTTAAGAAGGATGTCAAGGTACTCCAGTGCATCCAGACGAGGGGAACAAAGCTGTTGACAGGACTGGAAGCCATGTCCTACGAGGAGTGGCTCAGGACTTTGGGCTTGTCTAGCTTGGAGAAAGGAGGCTGAGGGGCGACCTCATTGCTCTCCACAGCTTCCTGAGGAGGGGAAATGGAGAGGAAGGTGCTGACCTCTTCTCCCTGGTATCCAGTGATAGGACACACTGGAATGGTTCAAAGCTGTGCCAGGGAGGTTTAGACTGGACATTAGGAAGCATTGCTTTACTAAGAGTGGTCAAACACTGGAATAGGTTTCCTAGAGAGGTGGTTGATGCCCCAGGCCTGTCAGCATTTAAGAGGCATTTGGATAATGCCCTTAATAACATGCTCTCACTGTTGGTCAGCCCTGAATTCGTCAGGCAGTTGGACTAGACAGTAATTGTACGTCCCTTCCAATTGAAATAGTCTATTCTATTCTATTCTATGCTATGCTATGCTATGCTATGCTATGCTATTCTCTTCTCACAGATACTCATGACACTGGCCAGACACCATCCTCTAATAAGAAGATACTAAAGAGAAGAACCATTTACAATCTTGACCCCACATCTCCAATAAAGAAATAAGAAAATCTCTTCAGGTAGGAACACAGAACTTTTAGTTCAGGTTCACGAAGCACAGATGAAATTGAATGGCCAACTATACTCAAAATGAACTGCTGATTTATATTCAATACTTTGTCATTAGTACAATCCTAGTTTTATAGTCTATGTTGTGACACCATGATTTCTGTTGAGAGCAATGTATGGTATTTATCTTACTTGGCTCTTATTATCCAAAAAATATGTCTATGCTGAACTAGTTCTCTAGGCTTCTTCTGTAGTCCACAAAGAAGAATAGGCAACTTTACAGAGTAATTTACCTTTAAAAGACTCATAAGGGTAAAGTTTATTTTTTACATAACAAAACCAAAATGAAAACCAAACCAAAACAAAATCTAAGGCCCTAGGGCAACACTAACTAACACACGACTAAGCCACAGTCTAGAGACTTTGTTAAGCTACTGTTTAAAAAAATAGCAATAGACACAGCTATTAAGTTATTGCACTGTAACTCGGAAGATATGTTCCTGCATCTCAGAAAAAGGAAATCAGGAATGTCTGAAAGTTTTGGACACTCTTATCTTTGCTGCACACACTTAAACACGTCCCCGTTTAACCAAGATTTTGAAAGAGAAATCATCTATTTAGGAAACAAAATGTAAACTATAGGGAAATTTAAGACACAACATTTCTGATTTCATTTTAAAGACAAACCACCATGGAAAACTGTATCTCCTTCCCTGGAAGGCTGGTGTGGCAGTCTGAAACACTTCAGGCACATCCATGCCTGTTTGTAACCACCAGGTGCAATCCTGCCATGAGGTATAATGTGAATTCTGAATATAGAGCTGTCATGCACATGCCCTCTCACTACAGACCAAAGAACATGCTTCCCTTCTGTCGTATCTGCACATATTGGGCTCATGCCTTCCCTCTCCCAAATCCTCCCTACATGGCATATGACCAACAAAGACAGCATTTGCATTTTACTCAAAGATGCAATTTAAAACCTCAAAGAGTTGAGGGAAGAGAGGAAAGAGGCAAACACAGATTCACACTCCACATCAGAAGAACTCTGTTTACTAGCAAATAACCTATTTCTTTGTTCAAGTGGAAGCGTAAAGGTATACTCACACTACAAGTGACTAAACATTTCATGAACTGCCTGTCATGCCAAGAGAAACTGCAGAGACACTCTACCAAGTACTGCATCAATCCTCAAGGCTTCTGAGATGACAGAATGCCTAATTAAGATATGAACGGAGCTTTATGCGGCCCAACATCAGACCATGGGATTAAAAATACTTCTCTAAAACTTCCCCTCATTAGGATTGCAGCACACTCTACTACAGCCAGATCAATGTCAGTGACATTTTGCTTCACTTCAAGTCTTCACACAGTCCATTATGAGTGAAGACAACTGCTGAACAAAGGACTTGACTCTTGTCCTTCAGCAATGGACACAAATGGCATTGATTTTGTAAAACCTGTAGACTTATGGCCGCAAAAAGAATTCTTAGATATGGTGGGCATGAAAGAAATTTCACTTCAGAGGCATGTAATTTAGAAAGAGAACTACAAGATTCATCTTTCCATGCAGACAAAATCCAGAAAGCAATTTAAGATTAAATTACGACAAAAATCAGAGCAAGTAACTCAAGGGTGAGTGTCAGAAACGAGAATGAGAAATGCACAGATCGGCCTGTCTGACCATAGAACTGGGGATAACTCTAAGAGGGAACCTAGACATTGACCTCTTATCTAGAGGTCTAGGCATAACAAGGCTGCCCAAACCAAAAAGCACACTTCGAATATTCACACTCCATGCAGATGAAAGAATTCAACTTCCTTAATTTTGGAACAGCATTTCGGCCAACCCTCCTTTCTGACACCTCAGGATGGCTTGGAGTGGCTTCCATCTTGGAATAGAAGGCAGGGGGTCAAATGTATAAGCAGCTTTCACATCAAATAAGCATAGCTTTCTGTACTCATAAATACACAACATAATTTTGCTTTCTGAGCACATCTCCCACATTAGAAGATAATGAGTGTGACTCAAATCAATACCTTGCACCTTTTTATTGTAAAGCACAACCCACTGCTGATAATTACAGTTAATAGCTAACTGGAAGTTCTAACACAGATAGAAGTTTATGATAGAAGAGAACAAAATATTGTATAAGTAAAAACCACAAATATGTATTTTATGAAGTTTTCAAGACTCATGTTCACGTGCAGGACACTCCTGTTAAGCACTGCTCAATTTATATTAGACGGAATGTTCTGTAATTAGGCACAGTAAACACATTTCAGCTATGATGTAAAAATTCAATTTATGAATTCATTAACTTCATAAACTGATGAAAAATTCTGTTGTGTCCTTAGATTAAAAATGAGGCTATTAAAACACCAAGAACTTCAAATACTTGACAAAAAAGTTAAGACATTATGTTACCCCCTGAGCCAAAAACAGAATTCCTGTCTTCTGAATTGCCAGGTACAACAATCAGATTTAATAATCTGCAGGCTCAAGAGCAACCTTATGTTGCGAGAAGGAGAGGGATTAGCTCTTTGGCAAATTTACAGCACAAAACCATCAAAAAGAGTATCAGAGCAACATGCCAAAACCTAACAAAGCACAAGAAATATGGAATTATTTTCTCCTGTGAAACAGTATAGCAAGAGAGAGATGATAATGGTTATGAAATGTCCCACCGAACAATTTTTTAACAGTCCACTTAAAACTTCAAAGCATGTCAATGCACCTGCTACTGCAATCATCTATCACTGTAATGCAGTTAATGGGGAAGAAAGATCTTAAAATTTCTCTGTTAAATAAATATGTCCTAAGCTGTTCTGAAAACCTACATTCCTAACATAAAATTCAGTTCAATCAAGCTTTTAGGCTCTACTCAAGAGTCCAGCAGAGCGGACTTGAAGTACCGCTTGATATAGGGGTCAGATCAAGGTCCCTAATGGCCCTGATGCAATCTAAATTGTTCAATACAGCATGCACATTTTGGTGTCACTCCAAGCACAAACGAAACCACATCTCCAAGCCACTTCCCAAAAGCAGAAGTGTTCACAGGAGTAGCAATCTGAGCTGCACTTTTCCAAATAAAAAGATCACAGAAGTGTTTTTCATTCCGGAATGCATACACTAGTCCTTTTCTGGCAAACAAAAACTCTATCTGCATCATGTTAAATAAGTCAAGAGAGACAGAGTACACAACTGCAGCTCAGCTCCTCTCACAGTGTGGGTGAAGGGGAACTCCACAAAAGCTCTCCATTAATACAGCTCAGGTTTCCAACAGGAATGGCCATACGTGATCTACAGCAGCACAGAGCAGTGAGTAGCAGACAGAACTGCATAATGTACTTCAATTGTCCTAAATTCTGGGTCTGAATCATATATCATCTAGCAGTATGTGTGACATTGATTATATGAGAAACTATTTCGTTCTAACAGTTTTGAATTTGCTACTTCAATTTCACATCCTCTCGTTCCTGTCTTATCAGACAGAAAATGGGAGTTCCTAATCTACTTTACATGCATTATTTCTGCACGGTTTTTATGCAGTCTCATATTTTTTTCTAAAGCAAGTGCATTAATATCTGGTATCAGATGAACAAGCTAGAATTTCTAGATTCTCTAGATATAAAATGGCAGAACATTTGCAATTGACTTGAAGTCAAGAAAGCCAAGTAGGCTATGAGACGCAAACTACAAATTATTACTTTTATGTTAATCTAATGTCCTCTTGCCTCATTTCATGCAAAACTGTCAGTTGTCAATCATTTGGAAATCAGATCTAACCAGTTCATAACAACTATGTCAATTAAAGGATAAAATGTCATTTCAAATATGGGAAGAGTTAATGGCTCAGTGATACGGAATAACCTCATGAAGATGAGAACAGATTCCAAAAGCTGAACAGAATATGTTCAGGTACATGAGGGTCGTAGAATTTGGATGTTACTTGGTTTTCAAACACAACAGGCAGCAATACGATCAGACAGCCTGCTTAGCAGCACTGCATGTTATCAAAAGCCAGGTCTTTAGATCCTCTAGCAATATATGGTTGAGCAGGGCTTTTATCCTACAGTATTATAAATTAACATCTCTTACTGTTAAACATGAGCAGTGTTTAAGAAATAGGTGACTTTTTGTGTCAAAGGCAAACAATTTTCAAGATCTGACTCCAACAGCCAACAACGAATTTGAAGCATACACACCAGAACCCTTGGAAACCTCATGTGCAATTTTGTGCAGAGGCCACTGATGCCACCAACATCAGTTCTTAACAGAAATTTATTTAACTTAAGTAATTTCAAAAGAATGCAAGTCTGCTTATAATTAAATTTACTCCCTTGCATACTGGAATCTGGCACTGCCTACGAACTCTGTACCTTATCAGTAATTACCTTATTTAACAGGATTTTTAAAAAGTTATATTGACCTTTATTGGTCTTTTAATATAGTTTTTCAGGAATTAAATGTACCATGGTGTAAACCTCTTCCAGGACTGCATTCCTGGACATGTGTTTTGGAGTCTCTAGAGTAAGTAAGGACACACCTTAGCCCATCTAGGAGAAAGACATCTCATTTCAAAGATTCTGCACCCTATAACTGAGAAGAAAGCATCACAGATCAAGTAAATGAACTAAAAGTAAGACTGATTTCAAACTGGAACAAACAGAATTCACTTGATCTTGAAAAGTCCATCCAAGCAACAAGCAAAAGCAAGGATTTTCCTAAAAATGGAATTTTAATCACCTGTTGGACTCCATTTCTTAACAACTGCACCTACTACACATTAAATGCTGCACTAGAGAGTTTAGTAAAAAGAAGTCACATACCAAGTGAATGACATGGCCCAAAGCAGAGTGAATTATGAAGTAACTAAATTTGCAGACAAATGGAGAAGCTCATTAACTATGCACTGAATAGGAATGATGAAATACCTCTTTACATCTGGCACAACTGCTATCAGCAAGGAGATTCTTATCCAGAATTCTCATTTGGACAGAAAATGTGACAACATATAGAGCAGGTTAGCAGATTTTCCTTTAAATGAAGAGTCTAAAGATAGACTAAGTCATTGCAGTCATTGTCTAAAAAACGCTGAGGAAGAGCAATTCAATTTTCTAGCATCTGAGCCACTTTCTTGTCAATAAACATCCATAGAAGAATAACGCATTAGGGTCTCAAATGAGCTTGTTTCCTATTTCAAGGAGGGGTAAGGATTGATGATAGCACTCAAAACAGATGGAAGAAAGTAATGATGAACTTGTAATGAATACCTCAGGAATAAATCCATATAATAAATAAAACTTTCCTGAGCAATTAAGAGCATGGAGGTCTAATGAAGCCACACGGCTTTATATCTTCCCCTTCTCTTTGGACAAGTGTGATAAAAGACGTTCTTAGAACTGAATACTGCCTATACAGTCTGACACAGTCCTTGTTTGACGCTGAGCAAATTTTTCAACTTCAAGACTAGATGTGGTTCAAAACCACTATTTTTCATGTGTAGAATGTTTGTGATTATATACAGTAACTTGGTCTGCAGAAGTACTAAACACTCACAGATGCAAGTCAGTGGGAGAGGCATTCTATTAATATAATGCTAATAACGTATTTTAACCATATAATGCTAAGAACTCTGAAATAGTGGTAGTTCAGTGGCTCAGACTAGAAGACTTTGACCTTAATCTCTCTGTGCCTCAGCTTCCCATCTGCAAAATACAGATAATACCACTCTCTCATCTCACAGGGGATTTGTGAGGATGAACTCAGTCACGATTTTCAAGTATCCTGACAGTATAGTGATAAACACTTTAGAAACAGTATGAGATAGCAAATAGCTCAGGTTTTGGAGCATAACCATAAACAGTAACTAAGTTATGGGGAGATAAGCAAAACATTGACTGGCTGCCAATTAAATGAACACTGAAGATCCTGGGCACTTCATGAAAGGAGAGGTCATGTGGGAAAACAGTACAGGATCTTGTAATCCAAGACTGCATTACAGGGTATAAGCACGGTGGAGTAAAATAAGGTTGAGCGAGCAATCCTAACTCAGTAAGAGCTCTTAACCTTAGAGTCATAATCTTTTTAACAGCTTTCATCTCCTCTAAACTATCAATATAAATTTACAAGCAAATACACGTACACCTAAATTGTACATTTAAATTCTGGCATACAGAGGTGGGCAAAGCCCCAGACACTCTGCTATTCTTAGTTCATCCAGCCTGTTTCTGTAAGAAACTGCTTCCCGTGTATCCTTAGTTCACCTTTTCAGAGAGTACTGCTTTCCCAAGACTGCCTCAGGGTCCTGCTGACGGATTGCTCTAATTGCAGTTGGTGAAGTAAAGAAGGCAGCTACTTCATGCTCTGCTAGCACACGGAAATAGGCACCAGCATCTGGCGTTCCCACAGGCTTCCCCTATGGAGAGAATAATTTAAAATGTCACAGGATAAAAATACCTCATAATTCCTTGACAGTTCAAAGATTGAACACATAACAGTAGTGGTAGCACAGCAACAGAAGTAATTTCAAGACTTTCAAGAAGGCTTTGTTAAAAATAATAATACTGTCAGCATATGCACTTGTGAAATCAGTTCACAAACTTTGGGCACCATCTCTTGCATGAGCACAGCATATACTAGCTGCTACTTAGAAAAACAGGACAAATGGACATGTGAATGAAAAGACAGCTATAAAGAGCTGTTATTATGCTGTCAGCAGAGGGAGTCATGCCTACACCTACTCTTATTGCGAAGCAGCCTGTAAAACACCCAGAGCCCCACTGAACTAGGAGTCTCTGGCACTGCAGCTAGATCCCCACACACAGGCCTACAGGGCATAATGCCAGCTTTTTCTTACCTAGAAATTTCCTCCAATTCTGGAAAAATTCCCACTTTGCTGCTTACAACTGGCTTCTTGGAACATTCGTGCTGCTACACCACATGAAGTCTGGAGAGAAGCTGAAGGCCCCTTTTCTGGTTTAGTGTGCTACCAGACTGTGGTTTGTTTGTGGTTGAGTTTTTTAAAAAAACTAAACATTGTCTTGAGCTAAGGGCATAGTCAAGAGAATTGTAAACAGAAATAATGAGATTACAATGACAAATTGCCTAATGGTAAGTAATAATAAAAAAATAATAATACTTTTCTGTGGTGCTGCAAATATGAAAAGCAGTTGGCACACGATCATATAATCACCTTCTTATTGTAATTACTGCAGTGCATGAATTGCTCCATACATATTCTGAAATTATGAAAATATGATCTTAACGTGGAATGAGTTTTAGGCCTACAGGTATTACCTTATTACCTTTTCACTAGAAAGGCCACATTTGGAAGACGAACTTTGACAGAGCACGCAAGTTAGAAGAGATGTAGGCTTTTCATACTGCAAACATCTTTGTCAATGCTTTATGCAAGAAGCCACAAACAGATAGAAAGTTTCACTACTGAAATGACACCATCTTTACAGCAGTTCACCAGTCTCAAGACAAATTCATACCTTCACCATCCCTGAGTAAATGCATAGATTAATAAGTCCAACGGAAAAAAGAAAACAGCACACAAAACTCTAATTAATTCTTTTCATTTTAGCAAGAGGCAAAAGGAACAGAGGCATTTAAATACCTTGAAGAATTACTAAACTCAGTATTTTTATTCCAATAATGAGGCACTAGTAACACAGTAAATGCCTTTACAAAAACACGCACTCATCAAGTTAGCTGCCCCACCCCAACACAAAAAGCAGCACACTGGCTGTAATACCAGCTCAGAGGAATTCAGCCTTTTTCCTCACTCCTATCTGCCCTTACCACTGCAGTCTTCCCCAGGTTTGCTCCGCATCCAGCTGTGCCTGAACACTAGCAAGAACACCAATGAACCATTTGGCAGATTTAAAGAACACAGGACGCCTGAGGTCAGATACGTACCATCAGCTTTGAAGCCATATGGTGAGATGCTGTTGGTAAGAGGCATGCTGGAGCAGAGGATCACCATAAAAGGAAAAAAAAAAACAAGACAAAACAGAATGCACAACTGAAAAGCCTTTTCTTTTTTAAAGGATGGAGTAGGTGGTGAGAAGCAAATGGAGAGAAAATAAACAAAAGAAACAGTTCCCAGCCCAAGTAGCAGGGAGGAGTATCACCAACACCTAAACCCCTTTTTGCTAGTAGCCTATCCTAAATTATGAAAAATAAATGCTAAAGAATGCTATTTGCTTGCTGAAAAAGTGAGATAATGCACAGTTCCCAAAGAAAAATTATTCACCAGACTGTCTTTAAGCATTGTCCTTGCAGACTTCTTCATCACAACTTCCACGTGTTTATCAATATGTTTCACGAACCTATTTATTCAAGTTGATGTCATCTCACTAAAAAGTTCACTATACCTGCAGATCTGTAACCATCTGGTTAGGAGATCAAGCCCCCATCACTAACGGTAAAACAACTGGTCTCAGACTCTGAAAAATTCCAGGTTTCCATAAATTTCTCATTAACTACTTATGTAACTGAACTAGTACCAATCATCTCGGACAGCAAAAAAACCTATCAATGGAGCAATCTGAAATTGGTTAGTCTGCCAGTGATAATGTAGGCTGTTATCTTTAACCAAACAGAAACGTCCACAGCCCATACAAGGGCTGTGTCTGGCCCTGAGCACATCCCCTCCCTCCTAGGGGCTTGGCTGCCCCTGCTTAAGGCCAGGTTTGCAATGGTACAGCTTGGATCAGACCACCAGGAAAACAGCAGAGCTGTGAGAAAGGCTGAAAGTAGCCTCCTCTTCCTCGGGAGGCAATTTACACTCAGGACCTCACCCTTGGTCTCTGCCCAAGCTACATCGCAGCTGTGCCCGGGCCTCACACCTCCAGCAAGCTCGAGCCTGAACCTGAACCTGAGCCTGAGCCCGAGCCCGAGCCCAAGATCATCTTCCACACAAGCAGCTAAACCTTCAGGACTGCGTGGGTAGGCATGCAGGGCTCTGACAGGTTGATATTTGTCACAGGTAACTACACCAGCTTTGGTTTGGAGAAGTACCGTTCTCGGATCTAGGAGAAAAACATGTAACACCAGGACAGGAAGGAAAGGAATAGAAAGTTCACCTGGCAGTTGACAGGAAATAATACCCAAAGAATAAAGCAACACTTAAAATACTCATTTAGGGGAAAAAAAGTCTGGCCCAGCTGTAAAATATTCTTATTCATTCTGCAGAAAACCTTCCCGAGTGCCTTGGCAGCTGTTCACAGTTTAGCAAATGCATAAACAAAACTGACATAAGCAAAACAAATCTGAGACAGTGCAAATTAATTTCAGAGCCCAAAAAACTACAAATAAAATTGCCAAAAAGACTTCTCATTCATTATACAAAAATTTTAAGAAGTACTGCAAGATGCCATGAGAGGCTTATCACCACATGCAATTTTGATTTTTAAAAAGTTAGCAATATAAACAATAAAGCACAGGGCAATTGAACTCAGAATATGCTGACAGATTGCTGAGTCAATTGGGGACTATGAGCAAATGAGGTGCTTCCACTGGATTTCTGCAGGGATCAGTTCAAGACCTGTTGCTATTCATTATTTGCATCAATACTGAAGATGAAAATTTATTTTAAAAGTTACTGGCAATAATATCTGTGGTTGGCAGAAACTATGAACAT